TAATAAATATAAGCATTTTCATCATGGTTTTATTTATTACAAACATATCTTTCACCATCAATACACATTGAGGCCCTTCTTTTAGGTTAAAACGATCTATCTTACATTTGTCTTTCTTGAGTTTGGGACTATTACGGTATGTGTTTAAACAACTTAAAAGGATAAACCTAAAAAAAACCCCTAAAAAATGAGTGCGAAGCTCGCAAATCGTTTTTGTGTTTTTATTTCTAATTTCGTCAGAATTGATGAAAACTCCCTAAAATGTGCAATTTATAGAGGAAATTGGCCTACCGTAACAAGAAATGCGCGAGAAGAATTTGAGAATTTGAGAACGCCACTGGTTAAGGGGGTTACGACGAACCGCCCAAACACTGGAGTAGGTCCGCATTTAAGAACGAAAAATTAATATTCGTAGATATATTTACAATGTTCTCTAGAGTATCGGAGATAAGAGTCCACTTTCCACTGAAACGAACCTCCCACAAATTAAGTCACGATACGGGCCTGCTATAGGCCTTCTAAATATCATCAACCACAAAATTAATAGATAAACAGCCTTGTCTCGAACAAATTCTGCTCGAAGGGCACACAATTTTAGGCAAGAATGTGCACAAACTCCTTTTTTTTTTTGGCAAATTTTTTTGGCAAAATATTGGTGAGGCTGGGCTAAACTAATGACGAATTTTATAGTGTCGTTGTATTACACTAGGCATTATGTGGTATTAGGCTATTCTGAACGAGTGCCGCAGAAGGTTTGATTCAAAAAGATGCAGTCTAATTTATACACGAATCTGTGAAGACTGTTTCGATCGGGATAATTATTGTAGTATTAGACGAGTAGACAGTTTGATGTACTGTTTTAAGAATTTCACAAAATATCATGTTTTAGAATTTTATTAGTAGCATATAGGCGCAATTTCTTTTAATTGCACTGATATTCAATTGTATATACCCGTTACCGATTGTAATTTAAAATCAGTTAATGTCCCTAGTCGATAAAGCTATTTGCCAAAGCATTATCTTGCTAATACAGTAATAAGTGTATTTGGGTCTACGCATGATCAGTGGTGTAACGAAGGGGCCAGATGCCCCTGAGTCTTCAGGCCGCTCCGACGTTTTTGGGTTCTATGACCTATCTTGATGCCTTTATTGCATATTCGAATTCTAAGTATGTACCGTGAGTTGACCCAAAAAAAAGCATACTTAATTTTAACTAAGATATCACTAATAAACATATTACAATAATACCAAACAAAACGAACCAATTAAAATCAATAAATATTTACAGAAAAAAACACATGTATCACACTCATGTGTTTCAATGCTTTTACTCATGTTTACCGTATATCGCGCAACTTTTTCAAGTTTCAACAAAACGTAGACTGGCGATAGTGATGGATAAAAATGCCTCAATTACTCGGCAAACATTGGCCTGTAATTTAAAGACCTTAGTTATTTGTTTCTAAAAGAAATATTCGAATTTGCTGGGGCCTCTTGAGGCTCCGGGGCCACTGGCTTTAGCCATTGAGAGCTCATAGCCGTTACGCTACTGCGCATTATCGTAAATGCATTGCATTATATTTACCTACAAACTATGCTTTACGTCATGGGACACTCGATATCCACTGCAATCTAGATGTAAAGATCTGACGCACCTTTACAAGTTATTTTGGGGTATATGGGGTGCTCAAGCGCTCCACACCGTAGAGCACCCAAGTCAACCTTTCCTCCCCGTGGTGTACCCTGGTAACCATTATCTTGTGATAGTGGGCTAACAAGGCTCTGGCTAAGGGAAGGAAAACCCCGAAAATAAACCTACTTATTAAGCATTTTAAAACACGTTTCTCGTCCTACTGTGTAACGATTGTAAGGGCGGGGATGGAATGAAATAAATCTGTAAATAGAAACAAATAGGCCTAGAAAACCCTAGACGAGAATCTGGTTTTGGTGTGTTACCGGTAGCGTTTATTATACGTTTAGAACGCACTCTAGATAAGAAAAGTGCACAGTTTTATATTATTATTGTCAATCATATATTAATCCATTTTAATATTGCATACCGGTACCGTAAATGATCGAATAAGCCCTATTTGTTTAAAGCGCCGCCCTTAAATCAGTGTCGCAAAAAACGAGACATTATTCGTTATTGCGGTGACAAGACGAATAGGTCTATTTAGATCACATGGTACAGTTGTAACACACGCATTTATGATGTAAAGTTCTTTAAAAGCGTCTCTTCTGAATAAGTGCTGCATGGAATTTACGTAATTCGCCGCAGCTCCTCTTCGGTTATTTACGGTATTTAATTTTTTTTTGTATAATGTATTTGTTAAAGACGACAAGCACAATTTATTCAGAACCTAAAAACTATCAACGCAACTTAGAGCCAACTTAAATACGACCTAAACCTGACTGGTTACCGAGTTAAGTGACTTTTATAGATGACCTTTATAGATAACAGTTTTCTGATGTGAAAGCTGAACGAGATAAAATCATTGTATTTATATTAAAGTTCATATTATGAATGTAATGAATGCGAGAGAGAGAGAGAGAGAGAGAGAGGCGTGGGGGGAGGGGTGGAGGCGAGAAAACTAAATAAATATAAATTCATTGTTGTCGTTGAATCGCACTGTGTATTGTCTATTTATTTACCGGAAAACTGCAAAAAGCTGAACGACAGACTATTGCAATTTGATAACACTGCAGATAGTGATTGGCAAGATCGCAACTCACAGCTACTCTAATAATGTTGGTCTATCCAAACAAAAAAGAGGCAATGACAGAAAATTAGAAACTTTCGTAAGAGTATTCCTTCGTTTGAAGATAAAATGAAGGTACTTGAATCTTACCTAAGAGCCCACCATAGTTTAGGAACAGCATTTCGACAAAAAAACCTCTCGCGGCCATTATTCGAACGGCAAGATAAGCATCCATTATCATTACCATCATCATCACCATCATCATCATGACACTGTCAATATCGTCAAATATCATCACCATCACCACCACCCTATTCACCATTTGCATACATTCGTTATAGGAGGTAAAAGTTAGAGCAGTTGTGTTTACAATAGTTTATTTTATTTCTTATTAAAAAATATTTATACAGAATACAATTTCAGACAAGATGTAATAGTCTCTTTTTTAAAATGGTGCTGTTTAAGACAGTTATCATAAAATATAAAAATGAATTTAAAAATGGTCAACAGTACAAACATCACAAGACCCTTAATAAAAACAAGAAGAATGAAATGACAGAATTTAAAAAACAATAAAGAGAAAATTTAGTAGAAAAAGATTGAAGAAGAAAAAACTCAGCCTAACTGAAATGAAAAGGAAGGAATGGTAAGTAGTATACAATTATCTAAGGAATGGACGACCGCACATTTAATTTAAATGGTTCAATTAGGAATATTTCTAAGATAATGTCTAATTTCTGTCAATTAAGATGTAGGCCTATACGCAATAATATACAAATAATTATGTCAACTAGATTATCTAGAACCATTGAGATATAATAAGAATACTAGAGTGTTAACAGCAATGTATTCATGTTCGAAATACGCAGAGCTGTGTGTGTACCATCCAAGATGGCTGCGTGTATAAGAGACAGGCGACCTTTATTTTGCCTATTAACTCCTCTC